AGGCTCAGGTGTTTTGACCTGGCCAAACACGTGGCCATCCCGAGCATGGTAAGTCCTGCCTTAGCTTCTTCAACCCGATTCGATGTCCTGGCTGTTTTGGTCACTTAGGCCAGAAGGTCACTTGGAAGAAGCATGTGTTGTATTGAGCTGGTGATAGACAACGCCTTAAAATGGAGACCTCAAAATCTGCTACAGCTGGCTACACATTTGATGAACCATGTTTCGGGGTGATTTAGAGCTAGGACAGCTAGGGGTCTTTAAGGGGTTGGAGCTGAAAAACATCTAAAAACATATTAAACTATGTTATGTTGATTCTTTTTTTTCGCTCCCCCCGGCCGCAGGGCATCTCTGCCAGCTTCGCGAGCGGAAGCCGCGGCCGGGACGGGACGTGGAGGGTGGGGAGACGTGTTCGAAGAGTTGAAGAACAGTTGGGCAACAACATGAAACAGACATGCTAACCTACAGACATGGTACTTGGGATGGTGAAAAAGACAGGTACACTTGGGATGGTGAAAACAAAGACATGGTATGTTGGGACTGTTCTGGGCGCCTTTTTCTTGTTCGGAGTTCGCATGTCTACCTGCACCAAGAAGTATTGCTGTCCAGTCTCTAGAGGCTGGAGGAGCCAACGGCAAACCGAAAAACGGTGTGGATGTCCGTCCCTTTCATTACGGACCTCCAAAGACTGCTGAAGGGTCATGTCCGACTTTCCGACAGGTTCTTTTTGTGGTTTGCCCCATTGCTTCAAGCGGTGCCGAAGCAAAACCACTTGTCAAGACGTTATTCAGAAGTCGCATCATGGCTATAATGTTCTCAAGGTTCCGTGGAGGCACTGGCACTTTCCGCACGACGGCTGATCTTGATTTCTCCAAAGGAATTCCTTCTACGAAGTGCACCCCTGCTTTGTCGATGATGATTCGACCTGATTTAAGGGGTATGTCACGAACCGATGCTTCTAAGCCAAAGTTGAAGAACTACAAGGAAGGTGGCCCTCCTCCTGCAGATGCTGATGAGCATTTCGGATGGGAGCCAGTCCCATGTCCTCAGACATTTGGACTTCTTCTACTTCTTTCCATCCTTTGATGGCAAGCTCTCTTGAACCGAGGCATGGTTGCGGGAAGCCATGAAGAAGAGCACAACATCAGACAAAAAAGGCAACATGCACAGCATTCCTTGTCAAGATTGGGATGGGTGAGCTGCTCCGTCTGCATCAATGTTCTTGCACATCCTGTGGTCCAATCAATCATGGTTTGTTCGTTTGGCGTTCAAGGGAATGGGTTGCGCCATCTGCAGGTGGTGGTTCAAAAGGTGTGTTTTTGCGACCTGGTGCGTGTCAATGGTCGTTCTGCGTATGTCTCCAACTTATGAGACCTGGCAGAGAGCTGGCGATGGTTTGCCAGGCACGCCCACGCAAATCTGCATTGCTCGGCGCGTGCTGGACAAGACAAATTCATGGTGAGGAGAGACCCCGCCAACAGAGACATGCTCACGCCAACTGAGCTGAGTTACGATGTACACAAGAAGTCCACTGGGAGCTAAAGCTGGCAGCGCTGCAAAGGCACAAGGCACTTGAAGGCAGGGTCGCCGAAAAGAACTCTCAAGGGCTGACAGCAGAACACTCAAAGATCAAAAAAGACACCCTCTGCCCCTGAGCTGAAAGGACGTGGGTTGTGCCGACACTGGGCGGTCGACTTACGACTCCGCCTACAACCTACTCACGGAGGCAAAACCCCTAGAAATCGTAGGGACGTAGGAGAGATGCTGCGTGTAGGCGAGTGCTTGGTCCCGAAGGGCCACGTGTGGGCCGAGGGTGCCAGAACGGATGACGATGTCTGCGCGGGCAACCACCTGTTTTGTGGCATAGAGTGGCGTTCTTCTTGGCTCATAGAGGCACACAGTGGACCCGGCAGAAGGTTCCCCAACGGCAGAAGATGCTTCTGAAAACAACCAAGCAGGCCACGGCCACACCAAATTCAAATCCATGTGGGTCCACTCACTCACTATCACGCACCAATTACTTCTGAACTACGAGGCATCCCAGCATTTTATGGTAAGTATAGTTCAGTGGTTCAGAGTTGAAAGCATTCTTCTACACTATTTGAGGCAAACGTGCGAGAGGAGAGACGAGCAGCATTTCAGTGCACCCCATGGGGTTGCAGATGCCATGATTGTCGGCAGGGCCTTGTATGAGAAGCATGGGAGGACCGACACCATGGGAGGACCGACACCCACCAACCCCCAACCTCGACGACAGTGAACCGGCTAAGAAAGAAGAGCTGTACAAGTCTAAGCCGCTCACCGTGCCGTGATCAGCTCACCGTGCCGGTTCTCGGAGCACTGATAGCAGCCGACGGACCGGGTGGGTCTACCGGGCTAGAGGTTTTGACCGCCTGGATGCTTTGTTTGCAGCAGACGTCTTCTTTGACGGACTTCACCTCCAGGCATGGGCACCATGAAGCAAAATCCTGGTGGAAAAGGAAGCTTTCAGTGAGCCTGAATGAGCTCTTGCAGTACATGATCTTCTTTCACCGGTTCCCCCGAGCCATGATCTACGTGTAGTGTTGGTCGGAGTGCGGCAGGTGTGGAAGGAGCTGCCCCAGTGGCTTCTCCTCACCACAAAATTCGCAGGACCCGGACGACGGGCTGCCTCGCCTGATGCCCTTTTTAGGTAGATCAAAGTTGATGAAAGGGTTCGCAGATGCTTTTCGTAGGGAATTCAACCGCATGATCGAGGCTTCCAATGAGCGGAAAGCTTAGCTCGAGACCATCCCTGACGACACGGCTCAGTCGCTGGAAGCCATGCAAGTCATGTGCTGCGGGGCTCTCATCCGGCCGGGCTTGTACTTTTGTCGCAGGCCCCCGCGAGGAGGACCACATGGACCTGAGGTGGAAGACGAAGCCTCTGGGTCCGATGTTGATCATTGTCACACATAATGTTTCAGCATGTTTCAGCCCCAGCGTGCGAGGGAGGGAAGGCTCTTCTTTAGGGCTTCATTCCCTGAACCGAGCCTGCAGCTTCGAGACAGCTCCGGTATGCGGCAGCGCTAAATTGTAAAAGGCATCGGTTGCAGAATTCCTTCAGCCCTTTCAACACCTGAACGCAAGTAGGCGTATTCCTAAAGCCCACCCTGACGCTCTGAGCCGATGATTTGGTGCCCGAGGCCACTAGTTTACAACCGCATCAGGTTTGGCCGCAAAGTAACAAATCCAGCCATCTGGGGAAACATTGTTAAGACTTCACACATACTTCATATCGTTCTCCACTGGTCTTCGAAGGTGCAAAACATGAAAAACCAAACTTGTCCACATCTACAAACCTCTAGCTTCACAAATCTCGGTTCCCTTGCTTCAGCTACAGTCTATAAGTGATAACATAGTTAAGCACACGAATGAAATAATAGATAGAACGTACAACTGGAACATGCACATTTATCAGTTGTATTTAAAAAACCATGTTTGATTTGGTATTTTAACAATACACCCCTTAACCTATATTCAAGGGAATTGTCAACTGATACGTATTGATACCGGTGGGATGGGAAGTTGGTTCCCTTGTATTTTGGAACCTGTCGTGGTCGTGGAGTAGCCTGACCACGCTTCGCTGGCTGTCGAGAGTCGTGCAAAATCCAAAAATACATACAACATCTAGAAATACGAAAAATGCAGCCACAAAACCATAAATTTGCAACAATACATTGCAGCACTAAAATTCCAAATTGTTCGTGTTTCTGACGTGTGTATGAGGCACTTGCTGATTTTGCGGCCGGATTGCCTTTGCTTTTGTTTTGCCACAACACCAAAAACAGCAAATATCAGGAAACATACACTCTTTAAGACACACAAGAAGCGGATAACATGAATCAAACAACAATTACCTTGGTGGGCACTATTTGGATTGTGGCCCTCATGTGAGTATGTTGTTTGGGAACCATTACTAGTTGGGACGTAGAACCATGGAAAACACAACATGTATTTCAGAGTTGTTTTTGTATTTTCACTGCATGTTTCCTTCTCCACTTGATGAAACAAGTCTGAACATTTTCACAGCTCCATGCCTTCACAGTCCACAGCTCCAGCTCGGACCTGGGCGAATCGCGAAAACACAAGGTGGCAAAGGCGCTGATCAGCTGGGCGCTTCGCTGGAGCTGAGGGCCTTTGGCGAGTTCTTAGGCCAGTTGGCGACGCTTCCGCGTGGTGGGAACACCACGTGTGCGCCGCTTCGAAGGTGTGGAGGTGTGGAGGTGGTGGAACGGTGTGGAGGTGTTTTTGGATTGAAAGGGGTGTGAGAAAGGTTGTTTGTTCCGTTTGGGGAGGCTTTTACGAGTCTAAATGCAGCCTGGCTGGGGCCAGGGTTGTGGCTGAAGGGAAGTGAGGCGAGGAGGGAGTGTTTCTTTGTGCCTTAGGGACACTTTGGGAATCAACAAATTAGGTTTAAACAATGGGTTTGATTGGCGGTTATAGTGGGGAATGAGGGAATGAATCTTCACCTATGGATCCAGTAGAATTTACGGTAATTGAGCCAGCCTGGGTAAGCTGGCATTCATCTACTCATTTCTCCCGCACTTGGGCCATGCCAGGTGCTCGCTTCCCGTCGTTGCGGGCAGCAATGTCTGCCATGGACCGTGGGTGGACATTGGAGGGGTCAGTGTGGATAACTACAGCTCTTCAGAGGTTGGAATCTTGGTCTTTAACATTCGTAGGGTGACCCTTTCAATGTGTTATGTCGCACTGACATGCTCTTTTGGAAGGTCTCGGGAGGCAAGAGCGACTTCAACTTTGAGATGCAAGATGCAAGTTTATGATTTAGCAGTTGTTTGGTTGGATATCATTTTGCTTCAACACTTCAAAATTAATTACCATGGGAGTGAGCACCACCAGCAAAAGCATATTTCACTTGCGGGAAACGGAGCAGACTTGCTTGGTAGCGCGAATCATACGAAGTCATGCTATGACAGAAGTTGCTTGTTGCGTCGCATTTGGCTCGGGCTGTCCAGGCCAGCTACTGAACCTTCATATGATGATGACACGTTCGTGCACTGAGATGATATGGATATAGAGCTTTACAATGTTTGCCGAGACTTTCGCCGGTTCACGTGGGCCCTTGACAAAGGGCCTGACTGCCGACATTTTTTCTCAAAGGAAAGTGGCTTTTGATGCGACGACATGGCAAATTTTGCTTTTCCTTCTCTTGCTTTTCCTGGCTCACGAGCTCTATGCTTGGGGCAAGAAGCCTCTTCTTGCTGACAACCAGAAGGCCAACACCTTTCCATTTCAGTGCGCGTTGTTGTTTTTTTTGGTTTTATTGGTATGTGAATCAATCCCTCGTGCTGCCGGTCACCTTGGACTTTGCTGCAAGCATGGGCCAAAGTGCCACAATGTCTGGCTTCTTCGTCAGCAGTCCGTTGGCAACCTCCATTGCAGGGTTGCAAGTGGGCAAGATGATCATTGGGGAGAACGCCTGGGACCAGGCAAGTGCCAGAAGACTAATCATTTGGGCACCATTGGTGTCCGTCATGCTGACGGCAATCGAGGCTGCTGTCTCAAACTCGGTAGTCCACTTTGATTTGCCAGCAAAACGAGCAAGCTTTTGGGTGATTCTTGCTTTGTCCAACCTAGCAGCATTTATTGTGGCACTTCCCTACGTGCCCTTGATGGTCACCAAGTCTTGAATGGTATATATATGTAATATTTTGGTTGCTGTTCGCCAAGAAATTGGTCATATGGTATTGTCAAGTGCGTTTTATCTTTAGACATCAGTGTTCTTATGGCCACAGCAGATCAAGGTGATGTGGGCCAAGTTTACTCCGAAGCGCGAAATGACTTTTTGGATGATCATGGCCCAGTGTAGCAGGCAAAGTGGCTTTCTGGTTGGTCCTGCTGTATTCGCGCTTCTGAGTCAGTTGGTAGGACGCGGGAAGCCAATCGCCCCGGCTTCTGCGCTGGCTTGGGTACTGGTTGCCCAGGTTATCATTGGCTGGCTTCAGCTTGCCTAGCAACTTTTTGCTTCACAGTCTTGTATGCTGTCTCGTTCCCCAGCTGGTTCACAGTACCTCAGACTTCTTTTTTTCAGCTTTGAAACGGAAACAACAAAAAACCTTGCAGGATATTGCTCTGTCATGCTGCATTCGATGGCGTTGCCCGCCCAGCTGCCTGACGACGTGGAGCGTATGGAGGAAGACAGCTCCCCTGGATCGCTGGATGGGGTAGAAGATTCTGTGGACAGTTTGGACATCCTGGAGCGTGAGCAGGTCAGGATAAGCGATGTGATAACCTTATCCAAGTGATCCGAAATGTAACATGATCACTTGCGATTCAGACAAGCCAACTCTGCCCCTGATCAGGTGGTGGCAAGTATGATTTGGTATTCTTTCGAGCGGTCGTTTGTCACCGCTGCGATTGAAGTGAGCACCATCATGCTCTTGGAGGTATCTTATGGTTGGCCTTCGGAGCGATGTGGTCTTGTATTTACGGTGGTTTCCTCCACCAGTTTACTCTTGACCTGGCTGTCCAGCATGGTGATGTCCCGGAATTCCGTGCCAGAGTCGACCGTCGGGAGTCCCGGTCATCCAACTGTAGCATGTTTGGAAGCGGAAAGAACATGCTACATTCGATATGATTCGATGGTCAAAAGTAAGACCACTCAACTTCTCCAACTGAATGCGCACTGGTTGGTTAGATTTGGTTAGATTTCATGAGCTGCCTCCGAAACAAAGGTCTTCATGGTGTGCAAGTTGACCTCGTTGGTGGGTGTGATCTTCCTTTTTGATTTTGGCATAGGCCCAGCCGGGCTATTGCTTGCAGACTCGCTGGTTTACGGTTGTGCCAGTGTGTCCAACGGCATTGCACAGGGCTGGGGCAGCAAGGCGGCTGTACCAAACACCACCTTTAGTATTGAAGTTTACCGACGCACGGCTATGTGAAAATTGGATCAATCTTGTGATTGCTTGGCAAGTTTTTTTTTCTTGGAGGGAGAGGACATGAGAAGCTTTAATCAACCGAGGAACTTACGTCATGTCCTTGGAGTGTGCTGCACACTTTCTTGCCCCTGTGGTGGCACGAAGCATCTTGGATTTTGGTGGCCAGAACATCTATGCCTTGGTGCAATTGTGTATGACAGCTTTGAGCACCGCAACGGTGTACAAGGCTGTGAAAATGGTGTGGGCGCTTCAAGGTCTCTCTGATCCCAAAAATGGGAAAGAAGTGTAAGACGCATAGCGTCCAATAGAGTGCAGAATCACATGGAAAGCCGCTTTGGTATTGCCTTTTTGGTGAATAGAACGTGAGTCGTTTTGGCTGAAGGGAGCCCGGAGACGCTGCAAAACTGAGCCCGGAGGCGCGTTTTTGGTCGAACACCTGAAAAAATCATGTTGTACTTTCTGCACAAGTCGTCATCTCTAGCATAAGTCAATCAATACATAGAACAATATAGCATGTCAAAAAGCCATCTAGAAACACTTGGAGGAACCAAGGCTGCCCTGATGTCTTTCTCCGCTGCCCGAGAACCGGCGACGTACAGGACCTCACGGGCACAGGCCGCGTCGCCTGCTTCGAGTTGGAATCGTTGGGGCTCCCGGAACGGTCATGGTCGATCGTCCGGAACGGTCATGGTCGTTGGTTCCATCGTCTGGAGAGAAGAATGCACCCGGTTCCAAGTCATCTGGTGCATCTGGGATTGGCTCTTATCTAGGGCTCTCTCATGCCCAGATGTCAGGATCTTTGTGTCAGGATCTCACATTAGTGAGATGGCTCCAAGTCATCTCTCTCATCCATAGTGTCAGGATCTCACATTCGTCATCTGGGGATGGGTCATGGCACCAGGATCCCGTCCGGGCACGACCGACTGGTCGGGCTCCAGGTGGGTCACGACCCATCCCCATTTGTGTTGGGGGACGGCTGGATAGGTCCCATCCTGGTGGATGAGGATGCTCTGATTCGCCAGAAATGGCTCTGATGCACTGATGGACCATATTTTATAATGTTCTATACAAATTGGTTGTCAAGGTCCGACCCACAAAACCTTCCCTTCAGCCGGAGCATTCGCACCTCACGAAGGTACTTCTGAATGCCACGGGAAGTTCAGAGGATTAGTGATCACCCACACCATCTGAAATGATTTGGAGATGGTACAATTCTTTTTAGAACAACCACCAAAAATACCATCTCAGTACAGGTTGTGTTGAGCAACTACCAAGGCAGGTGGGTTTAAAACGAACACCCTCCTACCCCAAATGCCAGTCAATATGCAGAGGGGCACCAGGTACCAGTAGTACGACAGAACGATGACCTGCTGAGTGTTTCCAGGGCTGATGTCCTGTTGAAACCATTCACGGCTGCCGTCGGCGCCGTCCGGACCGGACCCGAGCGGCCGACTGAGGTGGCTGCGCCAGCACATGTACCCCGGCAATGCTCGGATGCTGTTGAAGGCGTGGGGGTGGCACATGGGGTGGACCGCACTGGGGCATTCTGGCAGTCTCATGCGCCAGCATACCCTGGCTGACTGAAAGGTCCACGTAGATCACTCTAAAAGAGCTAAACCTGGCGGCAAAGGATTACCAGGAATGCCACAGGTGTGGAGCATCAATAGATTGTTACCACTGAGGTCTTCATCCATGAACCCGTCGTTTTCTGGGTGGGTTCATGTACCGTTTCAGCTGCCTGCTGAAAGGGACCATTCTTTGTACCGTTGCTGGGAAAAAAACCCACGCATCGGTGCTTACCGTTCGTTCTCCGGGTTCTCGCGGGCATCGGTCGGTGGAGGAGAAACCGAGATCGTCGGCATGGCCCGAAGTGAGGGGTAGAAGAAACAGGTTTAATCTATCACAAGCCTTTATTCAAGAAATTGATCTCTGAGGTCTGAGGTCCACAACCACTTCTCCATACCACTCCTCTCGTGATCTTGTCTCCGGTCCAGGATCTTGGCCGAAAGGGCAGCCTAGGCGAGTCCCCGGCGTGCGCGCCCGCACGCGAGACCTGGGCAAAAGCGGTGGTCTTTGGAGGAACTTCCGGTCCCGAAGAGTCAGCTGAGCTGAGGAGCTCCAAAGCGTCAGGAGCTTTATATATCAAGACAGATCTAATGAATGTTTGACTGTTTGACCAAAGGCCATTCTTTTTGGATCTTTACTATGATCCGGTTACAACATTCATCCACCTTTGGGCTGGGACTGGTCAAGCTCCAAGCTTGGAACCTTCGAGCTAGTTGACTGGCCAAATGTGCTTCAAGAAAACCCTGGATGTCCCCCTCCAAAGAAGCGTCTCATACGGCGTTGGGTTGCTCCCATCCAACTGTTCAGAACAGGAGCGAACACCGACACCGGACTTCTTTTTCAGTTGTGTTGCACACTCATGTGGCTCTTCCATGTTCCCTTGTGAATATGCCACTGACCTATCTGTGGACGGATTTCTCCGGTCAGTTGCTGTTTGGCACCGGCCACCGCGGAGAAGCGTTTGGCACCGAGCCACCGATCCTGGGCCGGAACGACCGAAGCTCGTTGAACGGGTAGGGATCGGGATGCGGTTTGGACGGACTGCAGAGATAGACGGACGGAGTCTGCCATGCTGGACTGGGTCAGTGGATGGTGGGGAGCACGGAGCACTCCGTTGGAGGGATTCCTGAGCATTTCAGACCCCAAATAGGCTCTCAAGGTCCTTCAAGGTAACTGCCTTTTTGATGGTGTCTGTCTCTCAACTACTTCTTTCTCCCCACTGAAGCCTTCTTCATTCAGGGGGGGAAGCATGGAGGAGAGGAGAGCACACGATTTCTGACCAAGTGCCTTCCCCTTTCTATGTTTCACATCTTATGGATTTATCATTTAGTTTTGGAAGCCCGACTTTCTTTTTTTTAAATATAAAATATATATATATATATTATATAGATAGATAGATGATAGATGGATGGATGGATGGATGGATGGATGGATGGATGGATGGATGGATGGATGGATGGATGGATGGATGGATGGATGGATGGATGGATGGATGGATGGATGGATGGATGGAGGGATGGATGGATGGATGGATGGATGGATGGATGGATGGATGGATGGATGGATGGATGGATGGATGGATGGATGGATGGATGGATGGATGGATGGATGGATTGATGGATGGATGGATGGATGGATGGATGGATGGATGGATGGATGGATGGATGGATGGATGGATGGATGGATGGATGGATGGATAGATAGATAGATAGATAGATAGATAGATAGATAGATATATATACAATCACATTTCTTGTTTTTTTCGCATCGTTGCATCGGGAAGCCTTCGCCTTCCCAAAGAGGCATGTCGCAGCTCCGGTTTCTGGCGCCCTCCTTTGTGCGCGCGGGGCAGTGTGGGCGACCGAGCCCGGATGCTCGGTCTTGGTCGGTCTGGGGTGCTCGTCCTCGAGGGTGGGGGTGGAGCGAAGGAAGCCCAGGGGCCCAGAGCCCGGTCAAAGGAAGTGTGGTGACGAACTGTTTGGCACACGTGAAACCTGGCGAAACTGGGCCCAGCAATGAAATCAACGGAATTGTTGATTTTCTTGGACACATTTTGGGAGTAAACTCGTTTGATCTTGATGGGCTGACATGCGGGCACTGGTGTACACCATTGGACACCCCACCTGAAACACCATTGGACACCCCTTCTCTTCTGTTCAGAAGAACACCCAAGCTCCAGAGCGAACAACACCTGTCTTCATCCCAACCTTTCTGCTGCCGGGCTCCGCCTCGCCTGCTCCGCCCGCCTCAGGTGGCGCCACGGCGGCTTCGTTGCTCCGCCGCTTGTGGGGGCAGAGCGACCTGCGGGCGCGGCGCTATCAGCCCTTGGAGGTGGAGAGAGCGGGACCGACCTTTGGGCGGTGAGGAGGGACCGACCTTTGAAGGGCGGGGAGGGGAGTCAGGTTTTGTAGGTGTTTGGTGGTGCTTTTGGACTGCTTGGGGGTGCAATCTCATCAGTCTAAGTGAGGAAGAACAGAAGGAACAAGAACAGATGATGGCAGATCAACTGTAGTGGAACATTCCATTGAATCAACTGCCACTTGTCAATCGAACACTTGGAGGTATATTAGCTATAGGTGTTGAAACTGGGCAAACATGCGCATGTGTCATCAATCAAGTTCCCAGCTTCCAGCTTCAGGATTTGTGGAAACATCCAGGGCACACGATCCATTCCCCTTAGTGACACGGGATTCCCCCTTCGTGGTCGGAAAGCTCCTCCGACTTCTTTGCGTGTGATGTCACGTTGCCTTTCCGTCATCGGGGTTCCCGCCCAGTGCGGACATTTAGAAGTTGAAGAAAACCCAATCAAACTATATATCAATCTGATGGTTCTCACAATCCTAGTCCAACCAACTTGGATTTTTTTTTTCGGACCATACCCACTGCTGTCTACCAGGCGCAACAAGCTGCTATTCGATGCTGCCGCTGTGCAGGGACACTTAGAGCCGGACCGACATTGTTGGCAACGTGTTGATTAGATTGCCGACACGTGTCAAAGGAATCAACCAGAATCTTTAGGTGCGCACATACGCCACATGGGAAGATTCAGGTGCGTTTGGTCCACCAGACTGCAGATTCACTGGTTGACCCACCACTCCCTGCAGAACTGGACCAAAACCTGCCACGGTCGGTCGGAACAGTGCAGATCTCCGCGGTCTGGTCGGTCGGTCGGAAGCTCGGAAGCTCGGAATCTCGGCGTCCCCGGCAGTGTTTGTATCTTCAGTTTGGGTGTCAACCAGGATCGGTTTTTGACCAGCAAAGCTAATGCGCAAGAGGCGCTTTCTGTTGAAGGTATGCACGGCAAGATCACATCAAGTGCTGGGTGGTGATCATACTTCGACTTACCAACATGGGAGTGGAATCCTCCCATGTTTGTACTGAACTATGGTGTTACCATGTGGAGTCACGTGGACTCCGAACGAACAAAGGGGGGGGCGGCCTCAGAAGGCAGTCGTCACCTGATCTGACCGTCACTCACAAGGGGTTGATCTGGAAGTCGTCGCCAAGTCGTCGCCTGAGTCCAGGGGAGCCACGAAAGATCCGCATGTCTTCTTCATCCCTGTCTTTTGGGAGGGAACAACATGAGCCCATCCGGCGATCTGAGTGAACAGTAGTGTTCCCATGAGGCTTTGGGATGTTTTGGCGCCCCAATTGGGGTCCAACAAAAGATCGCCAAACGTCAGCCACCTTGGGCGCCTGAGATTTGCTCGTTCTTGAACGCGGCCATCTCCGTCTCCTTGGTCGACGAGCCGCAGGATCTGTCCGGCGGCCTTCGCGCGAGAGAGGGAGAGAGCGGTGGTGTGACGTGGATTGCGGATGTTAAAACACTGGTTAAAGTGAAAGATCTGATTGCGGATGCCGCAAAAGG